AAAAAAAAAAAAAAAAAAAAAAAAAAAAAAAAGAAATTCTACCACAAAACACTCATTGCATCAAAACATTAAATTCTGATGTATGGTTAACCGCAACTTTTATATGTAAATTTAGTAAGTAATGCATTTATTTAATAAAGGTGTTTTTGTCTTTTCACTTAAAATAAAATAATAAAATAAGGTACCAGCTTCTCCTGCTGTTTTAAATTTTCAAAATATTAACAGCTGGGATTTGTTTGGGCAAAGAAATCAACATTCATCAGAAAAATCTCGGAATTATTTCGCTGGATTATCAGTGGCTTAGGTGGAAGATAGAGTAAAAGCGGACAATTCTATAAAATTCATTCCTTAAAAAAAATGGATTTTTGAAAATTACACAACGATTACTAAAATCCCTGATTTTTTTCTGTCAACATAAATCAGAGTTTATCAAGGAATAGGACTTAAATAAAATGAAAGGGTCCTCGCCGACAGTTAAGCAACTGTGTTTTACGTACGCCACGTTCCCAGTTTCTCTTTTTCTCACTGTGATGTGTTGTAGCTGTGAACAGAATTCTTTCAGAAGTTCTGATCACAGCTGCCAAACATCTTCAGGACTGCTATTCTTGGAAGGAGGAGTAGTTGTTAACAGTTAAAACGGACGACTAATCAAGGGAAAGTTGAGTATTGCAAATAGATGGAATAGAAGACGCTTCAGCACGAAATGTCAGCAAAACCATCGTGAGAATTGCAGAAAAGGCAAAAGCTTTAACAAAACGGATTTAGCCCTGAAACCATTTTGCGTGCTATCTATTATCAGCAAACACATAAAACCTTCAAGACGACCATCTTCAGGACACCACAGCTCAGAATTTCAAACTTTAAAATCAACAAAAGTTGCTAAATAAATTAGGATAAAGGCAAGTTTTATGACAAATTACTGAAAATTTTTGGTAGGGACAAGGAAAACAGCGAATTTTGAAAATTGTTCTAGTCACGAAAATACACCGCGTTGCAATCACCGCAGTCTTCACTTGCGTGAAGAAAAAACTGTACAAAGCATTCAAATAAAACAATAAAAATTTGACACTTGTGTCGATTGACGGCCCCAGCGCGCTGCTTGGCTAGCTGGTTTTTGGGGAAAGTTAAGGAAGGGGACAGTGAACGGGACAGCGTCAAAGGGGAAGGGGACGGCAACAAAAGGAAGAGGAGAGCGGCAATGAGAAGGGGACGGCAGCGG